TTATATTCTATACTTTTAATTGATACATTATTATTGTTATAAACATTACCTTTTAATTTAAAATTTTGTAGCTTGCCCACTAATAAAGTATTTATTTTATAATCAGATTTACTAAAGAACATTTCTTTGATAATAGTTAAATAATATATTCCTCCTATAACACTAGTTAATATAGCAATTAAAGTTATAAAATATAAACCTTTATCTAAAGCCGCGCTTAATACCATCTGTTTACCAAAGAATCCTACTAAAGGAGGTATTCCAGCAAATGAAAATATAGTAATAGTTAAACTTAAAGCTAAAACAGGGTTTATAAAGAAATAACCTTTTAATTGTGTTATTAATTGAATAGGTGAATTTGTTTTATCTAATAATTGATCATGTTCTTTATTATCACTAGTATAACAATATAATGAATATCCTATAGCTAATAATATAATAAATGCATTTAAATTACTTATTATATATTGAGTTAAATAAAATATAAGTGCTTGTGTTGATTCAATACTAGAAATACTTAAAGCTAATAACATAAATCCTACATGTGAAATTGTACTATAGGCTAATAATCTTTTAATTCTAAATTGAGTTAAACCTACAACAGTACCTATAATTAATGAAAATAATGAACTAATTAATAATATAAATGTTCAACTATTCATAGTAATATCCGCGTTAGTATAATATACTAACTGTAATAATAATATTAATATAGATATTTTAGCTATTAATGCTACAAAAGTAGTAACGATAGTAGGTATAGCATCATAAACATCTGGAGATCAGAAATGGAATGGTGCTGCACTAATTTTAAATAAAAATCCTACAGTAAATATAACTAAAGATAAACTTATATAATTAGGTGAATATCATAAATCATTAGTAGAGCTATGTATATCACTAATACTTGTAATAATATATAAACTATCTAAACTAGTACTTCCACTATTAGCATATAATAAAGCAGTACCTAATAATATAAAACAAGAACTTAATCCCCCTAATAAAAAATAAATTAATCCTCCTGTAGTAGATAGTTCCGAATTTCTATATATAGTACTTAAAATATATAAACCATAACTTTGTAATTCAATAGATAAGAATATAGTAATTAAATCATTACTAGACATTAAGAATATAGCACCACTAACAATAAATAATAAAATTAAAGGATACTCTATAATTTTTAAATGTTCACCCATTTTATTAATAATTTTAGTATTATAATATATAAATTTATTCAATAAAAGATCTTTTATTGAAGAATATTCAGATACTCAAACTTTTCTAGGATAAAAACTAGTTAAAGTTAAAATAAATATGGTAACAATAAAAACAAAAATATGAAATATTTGTGTAAGATTGTTAATTAACAATAAACCTCCATGTAGCCCTATTCCTTTAGTTACTACAGTTAAAGAAGTATAATCATGCACTATGCAATATAGTAAAATAAGTATAGCTATTCTATTATATAGAATAGACACATCACGCCTTAAATTAACGGAATTTGAAAGTAAAAGAGATAAAATAGAAATAATTATCATATTATAAAGCCTGAGAAGAGAATCGAACTCTTATTACCAATGTATGAGATCAGTGTTCTAACCGTTGAACTACTCAGGCATAGCTAATAGAATTTTCCTGTTGAGATACTATTAATATATATAAAGGGTGGAAACCCTGGTTCGAACAGGGAACTTGCTATGCCACAAATAGCTGCTCTACCGATTGAACTATAACCACCTTATAAAATAACGAGCCTAACGAAGCTGGTGAGCTTTATCTCGAGGTGATTCGAACACCCACTATTGAATACCAAAAATTCATGATTTACCTATTAATCTACGAGATACAATATAAATAATAGGAGTCGAACCTATACGAATATAAATCCAATGGCTCCTAAAACCACCCCGTCTACCCATTCCGGCATATTTATATAGTATAGGATTTGTAGGAATCGAACCTACATTTTGATGATTAAAAGTCATATGCATTCACCGTTATACTAAAATCCCTTAGTGCTAAAACTAGTGCTAACTATAGCAATTTATTGCTCGTGATAAGATTCGAACTTACAACCTAAATAGCTTCAATATTTCGCTCAACCAATTGAGCTTCACAAGCTTGGAGAAACTAGGAATCGAACCTAGGCTTTTAACTTGCAAAGTTAACATTCTACCAATTGAATTATATCCCCTTAATATCCAAGAAAGGGATCGAACCTTCACGACCGAAGTCAACAAAGCTTAAGTTTGTTGTGTTTACCAATTTCACCACTTGGACATATAGGGCTAAAGTGAATTGAACACTTATAAGTACTGTTATGAGCAGTATGCTTTACCGATTAAGCTATAACCCCCTTAGTAATACGCGGACAAAGGAATTGCACCAATATTTTTCGATCATGAGCCGAACGTGTTCCTATTACACTAATCCACTATAGACTAGACAGGGATCGAACCTGCGATGGTAGCATTGAAAGAGCTATGTCTTACCGCTTGACTACTAATCCTTAAGCCCAATGCAAGTATCGCACTTGCTTCTATTGATTACAAAACAATTGCATTACTTTTATGCTAATCAGGCTATTAATAAAAATGATATATATATACATAGTAATTTATAAAATTAGTACTTTCATCTTACAAATCTCTAGATTCTTACAAAGAAAGCCTATTGTGTATTATTCTAATACATATATTTAAGAAATATCTTAAGATAAGCTTCGTGCCTATATGCTTTCAGCACTTATCCTTAACCAACTTAGCTTTCCTGCCGTGCTTATATAATATATTATCCTAGCGAACGATACATCCTTTGTATATATTAATATACATCTATATAAATAGCAGTAAATTTCTCTACTGAATTAGTACCGTATTGATCTAAATATAAATATTTATAACTAAATACTAATCAATAAATATATTATTCTATCTATATATTTAATAACAGGGCATATAAACAACAGGTAAACCATAGGTTAGTAACTATAATTTATTTAGTTATAAGCAAAGCCTATAACCTTAAATCATTCTTGTTCCTTTCGTACAAAAGTTCGTTCTTATTTTATTCTAATTCCCTCTAGAAGATAGAAACCATACTGTCTCACGACGTATTTAACCCAGCTCATGTAACTTTTTAATCGACGAACAGTCGCACCCTACATAGTTTCTGCATCCATGAGGATAAGTTAAGCCGACATCGAGGTGCCAAACCGCGCACTCATTTTGTACACTCTTGCGCAAATTAGCCTGTTCTATTTGTTATCACAAAATCTAGCTTATTTTCTTACTTGTAGACGCGCTGTGTAACACGTAACACAAGAAGCTACCTAGTAAGAAGCTAGTAGGCGTGCTTTGCAGCAGCCTATTAATTTCCAATTCTTTCAAAATGGTTCAGACTATGTCTTCATTTTATATGTATATATTGATGAGCTTTAGCTCCAAAATTTATAGCTTATTTAGCTATATATAGCTAACAAAGCCCAATAACTTTAGTTAATATAATATTATTTTCCTGATATTCAACCTTTTATAGCAAATGAACCTACACGACGTGTATTATTAGCTATAGAATATGATATATTAGG